TTTTACTGTATTGATATTTAATTTGCTAAGTAAATATCCCAAACATGTTATCAAGCTACATATCTATATCTATATATATGTGTGTGTATTTATATATCTATATATATAGATATATAGCTTGATAACATGTTTGGGATATTTACATACATATACTGTACTATACATAATGCCATTTCACAGTGATGTTTTTGTATTAATCTGGCTTTATCATGTTCTCTTTATTTGTATTTTAAAGTAATTATTTTGAACTTACACATGAACTGTATTTATAAAGCTATTTTCTTTTTACACCCACCCACCTATGAATATAATTACATTATTGTACAGGGCCTGAAAATGAATCTTACTAAAGTACCCCTTTAGAGTTGTATTAATAGTCTATATTTTCATGACATTTATTGTTTAAGCATAAGGCCCTTCTTATCTAGCTACCAAGGTGTAAGCTTTTATAAAACTATCTCAGTGCTCTTCAGATGTTACTTTCACATAGGACTGGATAGTCTTCTCTTGAAAAATATTTTAAGAGCCAGATTCTGTTTTTCAGTAACATTAGAAGTCACTGGAGTTACTCCCACCTTCCATCAGTGTAACCGATAGCTGAATTTGCCCCTCAAATTGTTCAGTTGTTTCTTAGCTAAAATTATGCTATGTTGAGAATTCTAACTGTGTAAATAATTTGAAACTTACTATTTCCAGTGTCACAACTACTCTGCAAACATTACTGAGCAGAGAGCTTGCGACTATGAATAGTCCCATTGGTTTTAGTCCCTAAACTTGAAATGAAAACTAACTTTCCTTGGAAACAAGGTAGTAATATCAAATAAGTCGAAAGACAGTTTATAGTATCTAGAATTCCACTGCTTCTACAAAAATGATCCTTTTAGCCTGAAATTTGTGTGTTAGTTTGAGGCTAAAGGAGAATGTTCTTAGGAGAGTTTGAAGTAAATTCAACAATTTTTTTTTTAAATGATACGAAAGGAGAGAGGGGGACAGTTTTTCATGTTGTTGATCATTCACAGAAGGATCTTTGCTTTTTAAGAGAACATGAGTTGGTTTGGGTCTTTTCCTGCAACTTATGTCGGTTTCTAAGAAGAAGCTTAGAGAAGATATGCGGTTATGTTTGTAAATCATCTTGTTGCTGTGTTTTTTTCTTAGCTAAATAAATAACTTTGTTTTTAAGAAAAAAGTGCTGTCTTTAAAATCCATGTTGTAGCAGGAAGAGAGCCTGAGACGTAAGCCCTTGTATCAGCGGCCTGGTATGAGGCAGGACCTGCTCACAGAATCTGGCAAGAAAAGGGCTAATATTGCAGAAATACACACTCCTAAGAAGTACCAGGCACAGAGTGTTCATGTAAACACATCCCGATATCAAATGGTACCAGAACATCCCGATATCAAGTGGTACCAGAACATCCCAATATCAAGGATGGTACAAAAACATTCCTCCAGGATAACTGGAACACACTGACCCCTCCTAAAAGATAAGGTCAGAATGACAGTACGTAACAGAGATGTTTTGGTTGAACCAACATGTACAAGGTGATGGGTAATAATTAGCCACGTCAGGGAGCAGTAACTATGTCAGAGGGGCAGTACTAACTTGTTTGTATCAGGGTATAAAGATGTATCTCAGAGGGAGTGTCTTTGGCCAGCCTAGGGGGGAAATGGAAAGTTCCACCATTCACTGAGCTGCATCCATTGTCACGGGCATACATGTTAGTATCCTCGTAGAGTGTCAGTGGCACAGGCGCCAACTTTTGTTGGTGCCAGTGGGGGCTTGCGCCCGCCCCCCCCGCTCCCGGCCCCACCCCAACTCCGCCCCCTCTCTGCCCCTATTGGATCCCTCTCCAAATCCCCGCCCTGACCCTGCCACTTCCCGAAGCGCGCTGCGTTCCTCCTCCTCCCACCTCCCTCCCAGGCTTGCTGCGCGAAACAGCTGTTTTGCAGTGCAAGCGCTGGGAGGGAGGGGGGAGAAGCAGGACACGGGGCGCTCAGGGGAGGAGGCGGAGGCGGAGCGGAGGCAGAGGTGAGCTGGAGCGGGGAGGTGGGGAGCTGCCAGTGAGTGCAGAGCACTCACCAATTTTCCTGGAGCACCCATGGAGTCGGCGCCTATGATCAGTGGTATTACCCTGCTTTGTCAACAATAAACCTAGGTTGGGGCCTTTGTCTCTTAAAGGATCTTGTGGTCACAGGGCAGGTCGCTCGAGGTGTGCTATGCCGGCTGTCTGCGCAGAGCTGGGGCAGCACACAGAGAGAACACAGAGAGAACACACACACACAGCCGAACATCTGAGGCAAGTTGTCTTCTGCCTAGGGTGACCAGACGTCCCGTGTTTAAAGGGACAGTCCCATATTTAAGCCCTCCTCCAGGTGCCCCGAC